AAAATTTAAGGAAATAATGTATTTTTATATCATGTGCTTATATTTTTCTTTTGCTTTTCATTTTTAAATAATTTTAAACTTCTAGAAAATTTGTAGAAATTGTATAGAGTTCCCATATTCCTTTCTCTCACTTTCTCCCAAGATTAACAATATGTACAGTTATCAAGAATAAGAAGTTAACATTGGTTCAACATTATTAACTAACCTCTAGACTTTATTCAAATGTCATTAGTTGTTCCACTGATGTCACTTCCCCGTGCCAGGATCTGTTCCAGGGTTTCAGGTTTGATTTAGTTGTCATGTTTCCATAGGCTTCTCCAGGCTGTGACAGCTCCTCAGTCTTTCCTTGTCTTTCATGAACTTGACTCCACTGAAGAGTACTGGTCGTTTACTTTGTAGAAATAACTTAATTTGGGTTTGTGTAATGTTTTCTCATGGTTAGATTGAGGTTATGCATTTTTGCCAAGAATACCACGGAAGTGATGTGCTCTTCTTAGTAGATCACCTCATGGAGTACATGTTACTGGTATTGTTGACACCAGTTACTTAGATAAGGTCTTGTCTGCTGGGTTTCTCTGCTATCATGGTACTATTTTTCTCTTGCAAATTAATAAACACCTTTGGAAAGATACCTTGAGACTGTGCAAATATTCTGTTTCTCCTCAAAAATTTCACCTACTCAGTTTAGGACTCCTTGGTGGGTCTTACTTACTGTGATGTTCTAATGGTGATTTTCTATTTCCCTTCCTGCTTCTCCATTTATTGCTTGGAATTCTTCTGTGAGAAAAAACTGTCCCTTTCCCCTTATTTGTTTATACATTCAGGTATCTATTTATGTAAGTATGGACTCGTGGACATGTTTTTATTCAGAATTCAATATTATTGTCATTTCTATTGTTGCTTGAATTTTTCCAGCTTTGGTTATTGGGAGCTTTTTTGGAGTGGTTCCTGCCCTTTGACATGTCCTTTTTTGAGAACTTCTTTACTTTCTGCTAGTACAAGATATTCTAGTTGCATGTTGTTTTTCTGTGTCTCAGCATTTTAATCAACTGTTTCCCCTGGGAATCCTGGTTCCTTTAATGGAGAATGGTATTTAGCAGGTAAGATCTAAGTGTTAGGTGTGCTCATTGTTATTGGCATGTCTTTGGTCCTCAGCCCCCTCAGTGGACAAAGCTAGGAAATACATATACTAATCCATGTATACGTACAGGTCCATATTTATTTCTGTATTTATCTGTAATATGTAGATATACATATCTCTATTTTAAAGGCTACAAGTTAAGATGGATGCCTTTAACGCCTGTCCAATACCACAGGATTTATTCTAGCCTTTCCCCTTTCCTTACTTGTCAGTTCTCTCCTGACAGTGATAAATCTGGATCTCATTATCTATAATATATTTACTTATTTGTTCAACTCTAGTGTACTTATAAAGTAACACAAGTGCTGCTCGTGTGAGAAATAAAATAATTAACAGCAGTACGGCATTTGTGTACAGTTCTTTTTCCTTTAGCTTTAAGAGTAGCTAATCAAATACTGTTTTCCAAAGTTATATTTACATTATTAAAAGCATTGAATCAGTGTAAAACACTAATGCTACCTGCAGTGTATCAGTGTATCAGAATGAGTTTCACTCCACCCTTACCAGATTTGTATTCAGTCTCACCATAGTCTCTCTCTCTCTCCTAACTTAATAGCTGAAAATGGTGTTTCATTGTTTTAATTTGCACTGTTATTTTCTGGCAAAGTTGAACAGCTTTCCACATTCTGCATTCTAGTTCTCTCTCTCTTACTAGTTATCTCATGTCCTTTATCTTTGATCTACTCGTAAATATAATTTAATTTGTTCTACAGGACAGATGAAAATATATGCCGTATAACTCTTTCCATACTAATCACAATTAAAACAGCATCAGGATAAGATTTTGTCACTTCTAAATTATCCTCTTTTTGCTTATAGGATGAACAAGGAGGAGGAGAGAGTGACAATAAGTAGGAAAATCAGTGTTTTCAAAGTATATATTTTATTATATCTTGTGAATTATTTTTATTTAGGGAAGACTCAATTTACCACATGGCAAATCTCCATTCTTTAAAACTTGAAAAAATAATCCATTTTCTGGCACCATGATGAATAACAAATGATGTTGCCCTCCTTTCTGTATTACCCTGGTTGATTTCCAGTCTGGAGGTTCTGTCTTTGCATAGAGGGGTCACAGTCCCTATAAATAAAATATTTATATGTTATGTGTCTTATTATTTTAACCTTTGTTCAAGGCCCAGAAGAATTTATAGGTACTAAGTTGACTCACTACTGAGTGTTATGATAAAAAGTGAAGGTTTTATAATAAATCATATGAAATATATAATAGTAAGGCAAACACTAGTAAATTATGCTTAACATGGAAAATACCCTCACTTTATTTCTCAAAATTAAAACTAAAAATAGTGAAAGTCCTTCTACTTAGTTTTCAGCTGTTTTGTGTGTATTGATGAGGCAGAGCAATACCTTCTAAATTGTTAACCTTTCAGTTTAATAAGATTATTTTGTTTCGTATGGAAATATATTCATACTGTATTTACAGTCAAAATTAAAGCCGTACAGTTACATATAATCAAATGTAAATAATGAGTTTTTTTTGAGGTTGGGATCAATTTCAGCTGATAACTTTTTGTTAAGGCAAAATTATGTTTTTTTTTTTAACTAACAATTACCCCAATAATCAGCTATAATTTTTCTTTTTCTTGGAGTTAGCCTGCCACTGTGTGCTTATCTGAATGTTCTCTGTCAAATTGCTCATTCAGGCATTCTGCTCTTTGACCAGGTTGCTCTCCCTCCCTCCCCTCTCTCTCCCATTTCTTTCAGTGTGTCTTTTTTCTTCCTCAGGTAGTGCAGAGCGCTTCAACAAGTCTTACCCTAATTGGGGTAAGATGCCTGCCTCCCCTTCTCTCTTCTCTCTCCTTTTTTTTTTAGTTTTATTTAGTTATAATTGATATACAAAAAGTTAAACACATTTAACATATATCTTGATGAGTTTCGCATATTGCATGTGTCTATGATACCATCACCATCATCAACCATAATCAAAGTACTAAACACATCTGTCACCTTCAGAAATCCCCTTGTGTTCTTTTGTGTGCGTATGTTTTACTATATGAACACTTAACATGAGCTCTTTCCTCGTAATCTATTTTAAAAGTGTACGATACTGAATTATTAACGATAGGCACTATGTGGTATAGCAAATCTCTAGAATTTACTCATCTCGCATAACTGAGATTTTATACCCATTGAGTAATAATTCCCCATTTCCCTCTCCCTCCAGCCCCTGGCAACCACCATTCTGTTTTCTGCTTCTGTGAGTTTGACTATTTTAGATACTTAATATAAGTGGAATCTTACAGTATTTGTCCTTCTGTTACTGGCCCATTTCATCTAGCATGTCTTCTGTGTTTATACGAATTGTTGCAAATGGCAGCATTTCTTTCTTTTTTAAGACTGAACAATATTCCATTGTGTGTGTATATCTATCTGTCTATCTATCTGCACACCCATACCACATTTTCTTTATCCCTTCATCTGCCAGTGGATATTTGGGTTGTTTCCATATCTTGGCTATTGTGAATAATGCTGCAATGAACATGGGAGTGTAGATATCTCTTTGAGATTCTGATTTCAGTTCTTTTGGATATATACTCAGAAGTGGGATTGCTGGCTGACATGGTAATTCTGTTTCTAAAATTTAGGGGAACCTCCCTACTGTTTTCCATGGTGGCTGCACCATTCTGCATTCTCCCCTTCTTGCATACGCACCCAGTCTCTGTGAGTGATTCATGAGCAGCCGCACTCACTTTTTCACTTGAGAGGGAGGGGGAGGAGATTAGATTTCTCCCTAAGTTCTAGTGTGGAGCTTGCTTAAATGGCACAATTCAGGCCTTTCTCCCCTGAACGCTGATGCTGGCTTGGTTTTCCAAGGACAGGGGATTTTCCTGTAGGAATACAACCCCATGAAGTTTTTACTTCTTAGACTTTTCCAGGTAAGTTGATCTAAAGACTAAGAGCATTCTCTACAGGAGTTAGAGTGTTACTTCCTCCCACCTTCACCGCTCACCTCAGAACAGAGTCTTACTAGCACCCCAGCTCCATTTGTATTGTCCCCCAGTCGCTATGCCTCCCCTCTGTCCCTCTGCCTGCTCCAGATTAGCAACTCTCCTGACTTTTAGCATAGTAGATTAATTTTTCCTGGGTTTGACCTTAATACAGATAGAATCATACAGCACTCTTTTGTACATGTTTCTTTTACTCAGCCTTGTATATGAGATTCCTCCATGTTGTTGCATGTTAAAACTTGGAGGGAAATTTGCAGTCTAGTTGAGGCTACTCATTCAGTGAGGATGCTGGTGGGACTGCAGGGTTTTTTTCTGTGGTGTTTGGCTAGAGTAGAGCAGTTATTTGTCTTAGTAAGTTGACCCTTTCTTTGTCCTTTGGTTAGAGAGTAGGGTTTTCTTGGGGCTATTTTTGTCTGTAGCCATTGGAGTTCTTGGATTGCTGACTTCTCTAGCACCAGACTGGGTTAGCAAAGGCAGAAAGAAGACGTAGGAAACTCACTGCCGTGTCATTCTTCATTTCTGAGGTTTCTAGCCAGTCCTCCTCCTCTCCAGTTTCAGAACCTTCTCGTGCTTGTTTTTTATGTAATAACCAGAGTTTCTAGCTGTATTTAGTGGGAAGATTAGGTAAAAACATGTCTATTACATCTTTTTGGAAGTGGAAGTCTGTTTTACTTTTGATAGCTGTTTTATAAACCTTTGCGACCATTAGGAAAAATAAAATGAAATATTTTATGCATATATGGTCAATTAACAATATATTCATCAAAACAAGAGCTCTCAGCGGAAATTAATTTTGGGTAAAATACCATCTCACGTAATTCTGTTTATATAAAATACGAACTGAATGGCTTTAACCCTGTGTAAATTTAAATTCCTATGTTTAATTGCAGAATCTTTTAGCCGAAAAAGTAGAACAGCTGATGGAGTGGAGTTCCAGGCGCTCGATCTTCCGAATGAATGGTGATAAATTCCGAAAATTTATCAAGGCACCACCTCGAAACTACTCTATGATTGTTATGTTCACCGCTCTTCAGCCTCAGCGGCAGTGTTCTGTGTGCAGGTAATTTCTGTATTTAAAAGATTTTAAAAGCTATTATCCCATGCTTATATACTTATTTTATTACATTTCAGATGAATGTGTATAATAGAATTAAACAGTTGTTCATTGCTGTAGTCACCTATAACTTTGTGCATTTAAAAGCTCAAAATCATTGTAGTCTAGAAAATGAGTTTGATAGGCTAATGTTCTTTTATTGTGTAAAATACTTATTGACCAAGCCACATGTAATCATAAAACAGATTTGTTTCTTTATGTCCTGTATAAAGGTAAATATGTGATAGAATTTGGTTCAAATATTGCCTTGTAGTTCACCTAATTATATCTTATGGCCATGGAGTAACCCCCTTAAGCATATTTTATTTTGACGGTTTAATAGAGAGGACACACTTTTACCTGAGGAAGTCTGTTTACTTTTCAATGTCTCCAGTGATTAGAAGTTTCCTCTGTGGTATGGAAGTAAACAATTTGAAATGAATGAAGTATTTTTCAATAGGAACATACCAAAAATTTTGGACAAGTACAAATATAACACATATGTGACAATGCTTTTTTTTAATTAAACTTTTTATTTTGAGATAATTGTAGGTTCACTTGCAATTGTAAGAAATAATACAGAGAGATCCTATATGCTTTTTACCCAGTGTCCCCAGTGGTAACGTCTTGCAAAACTATAGTACACTCTCACAAGCAGGATATTGGAATTGGTACAGTTAAGGTACAGAACAGTTCCATCCCCGTAAGAATTCCTCCTGTTGCCCTTTGTAGCCATACCCCCTCGTTCCACTTCCCACCTCCTAAATTTGTTCTCCATTTCTATAATTTCATCATTTCAAGAAGGTGATGTAAATCTAATCATACACTGTATGATCTTTTGGGTTTTTTACTTGAAACCATAATTCCCTCAAAATCCATTCAAGTAGTTGCATTTTTCAACAGTTTATTGTTGAATAATATTCCATAGTGTGGATGTGTCACAGTCTAACCATCTATTAAAGGACATCTGAGTTATTTCTAGTTTTTGGCTATTGCAAATATAACTACTATGAACATTCTTATACAGATTTTTGTATGAACTTGTTTTCATTTCTCTGATGTAAATGCCAAAGAGTGGGATGGCTCGGTTGATTGGTAGTTGTGTGTTTAGCTTTATAAGAAACTGCTGAAATGTTTTCCAGGAGTGGCTATGTCATTTTGCATTCCCACCAGCAGTGTATGGGTGATGTAGTTTTTCCGTATCCTCACCTGCATTTGGTGGTGTCACTATTTTATTTTAGCTATTCTGCTAGGTATGTAGTGACATCTCATTGTGGTTTTATTTTGCATTTTGCTAATGGCTAATGGTGTTGAACATCTTTTCATGAGCCTATTTGTTATCTGTATATCTCCTCTTTGGTGAAATATCTGTTCATGTCTTTTGCCCATTTCTAATTGGATTTCTTTTAACTGAGTTTTGAGAGTCCTTTATATATTGTAGATATTAGTTCTTTGTCAGATATGTATTATTTAAATATTTTCTCCTACTCTATGGCTTATCTTTTCATGCTCATAACAGAATCTTTTTCAGATTTCAATTTAATGAGTCTAATTTGTCAGTTTCTCCTTTTACAGTTCTTACTTTCGTTGTCAAATTGAACTCTGCTCAGTCCTGCATCCTGCAGTTTTCCTCTTACATTTTTTTTTTTTAATTTTATAGTTTTACGTTTTGGTCTGATCTTTGGGAAAAAGCATTCAGTCTTCCTTCATTAAGTGATATTAATTGTAAGATTTTTGTAGATGTTCTTTGTCAAGTTGGGGAAGTTCTTCTTTACCAGTTTGCTGAGAGTTTTTATCATGAATGGGTGTTGGACTTTGTCACCTTTTTTTGGCATGAATTGATATGATTCTTCTTCTTTATGCTGTTGATATGGTGGCTTACACTGATTGATTTCAGAATGTTGAACCAGCTTTGCTTTTGGAATAAATTCCGACTGACTTTGGTATATTTTTCTTTTTATGTATTGCTGGATTCTATTTGCTAGTAAGTCATGCACCACATAATGACATTTCAGTCAACAACGGACCACATATATGACGGTGGTCCCATAAGATTAGTACCATGTAGCCGAGCTGTGTAGTAGGCTGTACCATCTAGGTTTGTGTAAGTACACTCTATGATGTTCACACAATGATGAAATCGCCTAGCGACATATTTCTCAGAACATAGCCCCATCATTAAGTGATGCGTGGCTGTATTTTGTTGAAGAATTTTGCATCTAAGTTCATGATAGATATTGATCTGTGGTTTTCATTATCTATGCTATCTTTTCCTAGTTTTGGTATCAGGATAATACTGGCCTCATAAAATGAGTTGGTAAATGTTCCCTCCTCGTTTATTTTTTGGTAAAGATTGTGTAAAATTGCGCAATTTTGGAAGATTGTGTTAGTTCTTCTTTAAATTTTTGATAGAATTTTTCACTGAAACCATCTGGGTCTGGAGATTTTAAATTACCTATTTCATTTCCTCAGTGGTTAAGGACAATTCAGGTTGCTTAGCTCTTTTTGGCTCAACACTTTTTCTTTTCAACAACAAACACTTTTTGGGTGGTGGCTCCACATCCAGACTCTCCACATTGTATCTTTATCTATAGACTTTATTTAGATTGCTAAATCATTTTGAATTCAGGTGGAAACTGAAGTTATTAATAACAAGGGTCAAGGAAAAAGAACCCAGCTTCACTCAGACTAGTTTTCAGAAAGGGAATTTCAGTGTTCTGAAGTTTTCAGGAAGGATCTTATCATAACCTAATAATGAGTGTATGTTGGGGCATGGGTAGAGAAGATGATAAGGAAAAGTATTTTGAAAAACAGCACTTCAGGTATTTCTGAGTTCCCTTCCTATCAAATCTGAGGACCAGTACCCAAGTGAGCATTAACACTGTTGTCAGAACTGGGCTGGCACATATGGATAGGGTGTATGTGCCTTAAGGGATGCTGTAAAACCCTATTCAGATAAAGATACCACCTTAATTGGCATTTTGGTGTAACAGTTCAGTTTCTCCTAAAAATGCAAAATGTCTTCTGGCATCCTATAATGCCATATGTACTTCAGGGAAGTCATTTGTTTGCTCCTAAAAATCGAATATATTGTTTTCTTATATTCACCACCGTTAAGAAGAAATATAATTAATCATTTTTTTTGTAATTATAATGTAGAAAGACTTTATTATTGAAGTATTTATTTCACAGTTGCATAAAATTATATGTATTTTGATAACATAAACTATAACATACTATTAAATGGTGCATCCTTTAGGCATTATTTTACTTAATGCATTATGTTAGTAAGTGATTTGTTAGTTTGAAGCCTTAATTTTTTAATGACATCTAGATCAAAATAACCTTTATTTATTACAGCCTATTTTAAAATAAACTTTAAAATTTTAGAGTAGTTTTAGATGTAAGAGAAAAAGATTGAAGTTATTAGTAAAAGTTAAGATAATTCATGGATAAAGGTGAGGATAGGGTTGTCAGAGGAGCAAGAAAGAACAGGTGAAGGTTTAGAGGCAAACAAAAAGTGTAGAGCAGGCGTACGGTTCCCATACCCAAGCATCCTGATTTAATTGTTTTGGGGTGGGGCCAAGGTCTTGACGTGTTAAAAAATATGATCTAGATAATTCCAATGTGCAACCTGTGTAGAGAGAGGGAAGGTAAGAAGCAGGTTTGGGATTCAGAGCTTTTATTTATTTATTTCATTGAGGAGCAATGGGACTGGGAAGGCTTAACTAGCTGGATGACCGTATAGCATTGAAGATCCTTTCTGGAACTGGAATACCCAATGCTTAGTGAAGAATCTGTAGAATTAAATGATTTTCTTCCTCAATACTCAGAAATTTAAGAGCAGGAACACCCTCCTTAGGGATTAACATGTTTGGTGTGTGGTATGAAGTGGATTAGGTAAATGATTTGAGAGTGCTAGTGAGAGTATATTTGAAATATGTAGCTATAGGTTCAAAGTTGGATGAGGGGGTCAGAAGAAGCCAGGGGACAGCTGAGTAATAAACTAGGTGTGATAGAATTAAGCTAGATTTTCATGTGTGGAGAACAGGTTTTGTGTAAAAGTAAGATGGGATTGAAAATTAGGAAGTTGTTGTAAAGGGTTTGTTTAATAAATATGTAAGTTTCTGAAGTATAGTGTAGATGATTGTTGATGTAGAGAAGCCTGAGGAACAATAAGGTTGTGGTAATGTCTAGCTTATAAACATGGATGTTGAAACTACTCAAGATGATAATGGAACTGGAGAGGAAAAAAAATCAGTGACCTGATAAAGAGATGCCTTGGAGTTTGTTAGATGGAGATGATAAATTTATAGTATAAATTTCAAAGGACGATCTATTAAAAAAGTGTGGTTGAACAGTGGTCTGAAATTTACTGTCACTGAGCCAAGAGAGTACTAACTGTGACCCACATGATAGTGGGCAGAGTGGCTCAAAGAGACCTCAAGGTAAGTAACAACTAAAATGAAAGGTAAAAAGGAGTTTCACGAAAAAATTTTAAGGTAAAATATTCAAATTATATTCCTATATTATAAGTTCAGCCTCAAAGGGAGTTGTAGATTCATTGAGAAATGCAACCTATCATCAGCAGCCATCTTTTTTTTTAAGCATGAATTAAATCCTCTTGACTCCTTCTGTGTCAGTGTAATTTTGGGCCATTTCCATAGTACTGCTATAATTTTTATAATTCTATAGAATCATTGAAAAGTTCATAGCTGTAATTTTTAAAACTTAGCACTTTCCTTTGTGAGACTTTCCTGCTTTTTTCTTTTCTTTAAGGAAAAGTGTTGTTCTCTTCTAGATTAACTCACACTTAGATTCTCCAGTTGCTTTTCTTTCTTGAGAGGCTGGTGAATGAGCTATTGGCTTCCTCGTAAGCCAATCTCAGCAAATCCTTCTGCCCTTCCTTCACACAGTCAGTTTATTCACAAATTTCAGAATTCAATTCTCACCTTCCTCAGCGCTAACATAAAACTCCTTGGCCAAATAAAGTTGTTAATTAAGACCACTCAATACAATTCTCACCACCCGTAAGCGTTAACTCCAAACTTCCTTCATCAAATTGTACTGTAGGGAATATTCCCATAGTTGCTAATCTTTTAAATGTATTCTACCACAAAATTGCTCATCTCTTCCAGACCTCATTAAAAATTCTAAGAACAAAATATCCTCTTCTAAGGTTCTTACTATGGATGACCAGATGTAAGAAAAAAAAGCCTAGATGAAGGAAAATAAAAAAGTATGTGTATAATCAAGCAGGATGCATGTATAATCAAAGTTTTGGTGATGTGTTAGAGATAAATATATTATTGGAGTTTAAATAAATGAAATAAAATTAGTAATTACAAAGGTATTTTAAAGAAGAGGGTGAATACATTATTCCATTGACGTATTAGATGTTAACTGGCTAACATCGTTCCTCCTCTAACTAAATAAAATTATTGTTTATTATGTGTGAACTGTTGGGGGTCCTATGTTAAGTCGTTTGTGTATACAGTATCTCATGTCCTTCTCACTGCTCTGAAAGGTAGTTCTGCAGAAATCCATTGTATAGATGAGAACTTCAAAGCTAAGAGGCCATACAGTTCACCCAAAGTCACACGGCTCGTGCCTGTCAGGTCTGGGGTTTGTGACTCTGCAGCTGTTAGAGTTTAATGCTTCCCTTACGTGTACATACTCATCATTCCTTTCACCCTGTGAACTGTAACGTGCATTTTGCTTTTGCATTCCCAACTAAGATTATTCATCTTTTAGGGCAGGGATCCATCAGTCAGGCTTTCTTAAACTCATTAGATCATGAAAAGCTGCTGTTCAGAGTAGCATCTCGTAGCGGGGACTGGTGAGTTGGAGGTGGCTGGCCAAAACTCTGGAAAAGAGTTCATCAGGCTTTTATTTTATTAAGCAAGGTCACATCTTATGCGATTAGATTCTAAAGTGAGCACAGAAGGTGAAATTGTCTATAGATAAAATTACCCTTGTACATCACTTAATGCACTTGTAAGTACTTTATAAATGGTTTTAGGACTACAACCCTTATAATTTCCTTGGTTCCTTAGATAATATTTCTCTATACCTTAATTCTTAAGCTTCTTTCCTGTGCGTGGCTGCCTGAACGAAGTATTTCACTTCTTTGTCAAAGTCTGGCAGACTCTCATGCCATTCACATACCCTTTCCCTGGCTTGGTTAATACATAACTGTTTCAGGCTTGATTGAGTCCACGACCAGTTTAATAAAAATGATATCTGGGGTTATTGCTGAGCTCCATCTAGTTTAATTTTCTTGAGATGAAGGCATATGATATAGCTTCACTGTATGAACTTTCTTCCTAAGTGTGTCTTCCTCAGATTGGATAATCTCCACTCTTACTATTTTCGATGAACTCTGATTGTCTGTGTGACATTGCAGCAGTGCAGCATTCTCTGAGCTCGCTTGTCTATACTCTTTGTTTATAAAAGTCTAGCTTTAGCCCCCATCTTTTTAATTTCAAACCTACTGAAAATTGAAACAGTAATACAAGAACACCAGTCTACCCTTTACCAAGATTCACTAATTAATAGCGCTTTGCCACATTTGATTTTGTTTTTTAATATAAGTAAAAAATGAGTCCCATATCAGCAAATGTACCTGTAACTTGTGGCCATCATGAAGTGTCGCTGCTCAACGCTTCAGTATGCTTCCTTTAAGAAAAGGACATTTGAACATAATCAGAATATTACTATCACTTTTAAGTGAATTGACATTAATTCAATGATATACTCTTATTATACTGTCCATATTTAAATTTTACATTTGTTTCCAAGATGTCTTTTATAGCCTTTTCCTCCCCTTTGGGATCTTGTCAGAGTTCATCTATTGCAGTTGATTGTTATGCCTCTTAAGTTCCTTTTAATCAATAACATTTCCATACTTTTGACATTGACTGCCTTTTTTTGTTTGTCTTTTTAAAGAATCCAGGCCACTTGCCTTGTGTAGTGTCCCGTGCTTGCATTTGTCAGATTGTTTCCTCATGATTAGGTTCAGTTGTATATTTTTCACAAGAGTGCCATAGCGATTTTTGTGTACTTCTTACTGAATCGCCTCAGGAGGCACATCGTGTTAGGTCATTGGAGTACCAGTCATGGAATGGCTCACTTGGTTAAGGTGGTGATCGCCACATCTTTCTATGTACATCTTTCTTCCCCTGTGATAAGTATGTGGGGGAGGTGAGCAGGCTAAGAGGAGGGATACTTTGACAACGTGACTATTCTGTTTCTCAGTACTTTTTTACTCAGTGATTGTAGCATCATTGATATTGTTTGCTTGAATTTGATATTACATTGGTCATTTATTGTGAAATGGTGATTTTTTAAAAAATTCTGTCATTCCTTCCACTCATAGGTAGAAGTTAACATATAGACAAAGAGAACTGATTGGTGGTTACCAGGGGAAAGGCGGGGTGGGGGAGGGCACAAAGGGTGAAGTGGTGCACCTACAACACGACTAGCAATAATGTACAACTGAAATTTCACAAGGTTGTAAACTATCATAATCTTAATAAAAAAAATTCTGTCATTCCTTACATATTAGTTAGTTGGTATCCTTCTCTAAAGGAGAGCTTTCCCTACCTCACTGTTTCCTTTTACTTTGAGTGTCTCCACTCAAAGTTTCTTGTTTTAGTCACTAATCCATTTCTATAATTATTCTCTTCATGTTCAAGTTGTCCTAAATGTGACCAGTGTAAACCAACTTCTGTGTCCTGACATGCCTCCGTTAGTCTTCACTTTCTGGCTCAACAAGACATTCTAAGCCTACTTTATACTTTCCCCACTGTGTAACTGCAATTAGCATTTTTTTCAAGGAGGCTTTGTTCCTTTTGGTAGGAAATGATATTTAGAAAGTAAGAACTGGGCTAGGTACACTCTTTACTGCTGGGGTAGCATCATTGCCTTCAGCCCTTTTTAGTAAACAGAGCTGGGTGTGTGTGTGTGTGTGTGTGTGTGTATGTATACATTATATAAATTATGACTTCAATTAGCTATCACCTCTTCCAAGCTAGCACGGCAGAGTTCTTCCTCTCTTTCCCTTATTCCATAGTTTTATCGCTTTTCTCCCAAAATGAAAACCTGAATCCCAGCAAGACTGATGTCTTTGCTCATTTGCTCCCTTTTATAATGCATATAAAATAGTTTCAGAATTACACCAATGTGTTCTCTGAAAACAAATCTGTGACTAGACTTCCAAATTTCTGTGCAGTTCCTTTTCTTTAACCTTAGGAGAATGTACATCACAATATTGTGTTTAAAGCTTACTTGAATTAGTCCTTTTCTCTGTTGGTTATGTTTTCATTTTGATGTACAGTCAGGTTCATTTGTTTCTGTATTCATTTTTACAATTCGCTTTGTTTATACTTTGTTTATACTTTGTTGACTTAATTTTGCCTTTTAAATATGCAAAACACCTACATGATCTGTATATCCGCACACATGCACATATGTACGTACATGTATGCATGCATATATATATAAATTTGGAGAAAAATGAAAATGAACACTTTGAGAAATGTCACTCTCACCCCTATCCCCTCTGCCCCATTCCCACTGATCCCCTGTTGGTAATCATTTATTAGCATTTGGTGTATCCATTGTGGATATGCTGTAGTTTATTTCCTCAGCTTCCTATGGATGGGGATTTATTTTTTTCTGATATTTTGCTTTACAAAAATGCCACAGCGTATGATCTTGTGCCTCTGTTTTATATATGTAGGGATGTATCTTCAGAGTAAATTCCTAGAAATGAGCTGCTGAGTTATAGTGTAAATGCATATATAGTTTTATTAGGTGTTGTCAGCTTCTCATCCAGAAGGCCTGTGCCATTTTGCACTCCCATGAGCAATATATGAAAGTACCTGTTTCTCCAAGTCTTGAAACAGAGTGCGTGATGAGCTATTGATTTCTTTTTGTTAATATATAGGTGAGAAAGGATGTATCAGTGTAGTTTTGTTTTTCGTCTTTTCTGAAATTAAGCATCTATTCATGCCTTTAAGTGCCATGTTTATATCATTTTCTGTGAACTGTTCATCGCTTTTGTTCCTCTTCAATTTTTCCCTCAGTTGTCAATAGCTATTTATATATCAAAGAGATTTGCCCTTTATCTGTGGTACAGGTTGCAAGTGTTTTCTCCCAGTGTGCCATTTGTCTTTTGAATTTGCTTATGATGTTTCTGTGTTTTTATGTCCAGTTATTTTTTTAATATTAAATGATGTTGAATTTATCCATTATTTTATTCTGTTGCTTCTGGATTTTGAGTTGTAGTTGGCGAAGATCTCTCTATACCTAGGTTACAGGGGATTCTGAAGACTTAATACAAAAAAACCCCAAAATATTGTATTGATAATTTTATATTGATATATATTGAAATAATATTTTGGGTATATTGGGTTAGGTAAGATAAATTATTGAAATTAATTTCACTTTTGCTTTTTATTTTTTTTTCATGTACCTGCTAAAAAATAACATGTATGGCTCGCCTTACATTTGTCTTGGACAGCACTTCTCTGGAGGATATCTCCAGTTTTCTAATAGGGTTTGTATATATTTCTAGTAGGGTTTGTATGTATGTAGGGTTTCCTGTTGTTGCTACAACAAATTACCAGAAACTCAGCGGCTTAAAACAACATAAATTTTTATCATTCAGTTCTGGAGGCAAGAAGTACAAAGTGGGTCTCAGTGGGCTCAAACCGAGGTGTGGGCGGGGCTGCATTCTCCCTGGAGGCTGTAGGAGAGAGTCCATTTCTTTGCCATTCTAACTTCTAGGGGCTGCCTGCATTCCTTGACTTAGGGCCTGATCTTCCATCTTCAAAGCCATTAGTGTAGCATCTTCAAATCTCTCTCTCTCTCTCTCTCTCTCTCTCTCTTTCTGACCTCTGCCTTGTCATCACACCTTCTTTCTGACTCTGACATTCCTGTTTCTCTCTCACAAAGACCCTGTGACATTGGGTCCATCTGGACAATCTAGGATATATCCCCATCTCAAGATCCTAAATTACGACATCTACAGAGTCATTTTACCATGTGAGGTAACGTAATTATAGGTTCTGGGAATTAGGATATGGATATTTTGGGGGACTATAAATATTCAGACTACCTCAGTTTGTAAGGTTACATTATATATATTTTTATATTTACACTACAAAATATATTCTTGTGTATGGTGTGAATAAGGATCTTACTTTTTTTCAAGTAGTTATACAGTTGTTCCAATGCTATTTATTAAAAAGTATATCTTTTCCCCAGTGATTAGAGATGCTATCTTTATCATACACTAAATTTGTATATATGTACTGGGGTTTATTTTTTTTGTTTTTAATTGTTGCATTGATGTATCTATTCATTTACCAGTATTGCATTGTTTTAATCATGGAGACTTTATAGTTTATTACTTGGTATGATAGTCTCTGTTCATTATTCTTTTTCAGTATTTTCCATGTTGATCTTGCATTTTTATTTTCCCATATGAACTTTAGAGCCAATTTCTTTGATTCCAGAAAAGTGCTTGTTGATACTTCTGTTGGGATTACATTAAATTTGCATATTTAGTGAGGAGAATTGACGAGATTGAGTCCATCTCATGTGTGGTTCATTCTTATTTGTCTCGTTTAATTCTTTTGGGTTTGAAACCTACCTTGTCTGATATCAGAATACAATTCATGTTTTCATGTTGTTGGCATTTACCTTTGTCTTCTCTTATAGTCCTTCCGATTCATTTGTTACATGTTTATACAGCATAAAGTTGAATTTTGCTTTGTGAACTAATCTGGAACTATTTCTCTCTCAGTAGCTGAGTGAAGGGATTTCACCCTATGGAGGAGAGCTGGAAGAGCTGGAAGTTAGCCTTCATAGTTCTGTGGATGCTGATAGAGGACATGAGACTCTTGGGTCAGAACAAAGGACTTTGTAAATCACGTCAAAAGCAGTAGGAGGAGTATCATCAAGACTCCCCTGGTTTCTTAAGGCCCAAGTCCCATGGGTTCATGCAAAGGGCCAGGTGGAGTCTGAACACAAAGTAGGGGCTGGAGCAGAAGAAGAACCTTGAGCCTGGGGAGTTTGCCACTTGAACAGAAACCAGTAAGCAGGCCTACAATTTGTCTGGAAGCGACCAGGTGCATCACAGGACTATGTGATCCTTTCTGGCATGCGATTACCTCACTTTTCAGAATTCCCAGCTACATAAACAATCCTGCAAAGAGTCCCCATTGGACAAACCATCAGGGCCTTGTGATTTTGGCACACTCATCAAATCACCTAGGATCAAAAGAGGCCCATGGGCACTGTCTCTCAACAATATCCTCCCTTTGGTCCTACACTGTATTGTTGTCAAGCAATTTTTCACATGAATTAGGCCACTCTGATTAATCTGAATGACTAAGGCTAGTTCCAGATTCTTTCAACTTTTCTTAAAACAGTATTAATTAAGGCTAATATCAAGAGGACCACGCCGGCAACACGAGACCAACCTACATATTGACCTCAGCCATGCTCCTAGGAATCTTCTGTCGCTTTCTCTTCTATGTCTCAGTGTACTGACCTTTCCACTTGGCCTGAGGTCTCAATGCAGGTGTAGCAGGATCTGCCTTGGTCCACGAGGGGCAAGTCTAGGACAGTTCTTTCATCCAGAACAACTCTGGCCAGTGAGTTGAGACTGACATGAATCACTTCCAGGACTAAGGTGATATCATTGATCACTTCAGCTAAGGTTAGGAACAAATTTCTAACCATCTGTTATGGGTGGAACCCCTCCCCCCACAAAAGATATGTTGAAGGACTAACCTCTAGTACCTCAGAATGTGACCATATTTGGAAATAGGGTCATTGCACATGTAAATAGTTAAGATGAAGTCATAGTGGGGTGCGGTGGACCTATAATCCAATATGACTGGTATCCTTATAAGATGAGCAGAGAGACACACAGGGAGAATGCCCTGTGATGACAGAGGCAGAGGTTGGAGTGATGTAGCTGGAAGCCAAGGAACACCAAGGATTGATGGCCACCACCCGAAGCTGGGAAGAGGCCAGGAAGAATTCTTGCCAAAGGTTTCAGAGGGAGCATGGCCCTCCTGACACCTTGTTTTCAGACTTCTAACCTTCGTAATTTTTTGTTTTAAGCCGTCTAGTTTGTGGTATTTTGTTACAACTGCCCTAGGAAACAAATTCACCACCTTTTTCTAATTAGATGATTCTCATTCTAGAGATATCCCACAGGGCATGCATAAGTGTGAGTCAATTATCCCTCTGGGGGTTCCCCCAAGTAACTGCGGGTGGGCTTATTTTGGAGAGAGATCCGCAGTGACCTGAGGGCTACATGCTTTCTTAAACACTAGATGGTCTCTTATGACCCATCGTTAGATAAGTTAACCGTGGTATTGATAGGGATGACAAGGCAGTATTAGATTTCCACCTGAGAAGTACAGCCCTTGCGAGTGCACATTGTGGCCCCAAGAAGTGTTGCTTACAATCATTGAAGTTCCCCAAGTGGGACCTACATCATTTAAGGGGCACAGGTTGACAGTGCCTTCAGTGTAGTCTCTTGACTGGGTGGTAGACCTTGGGTCCCCCAACTCAGTCTGAATGATTAAACTGTGTCCATGATTTTAGACAGCCCACATGAGGATAATCTAACCTGTCCCATTTGCCCATGCCACTAACAGGCTATCCCTTGTCTGCTCCCAGGAAGACCTGAGTAATGGCCATGGTAATGGGGCTGAGAGAAACATCCAGAAAGGTTGATTGTTGTTTGTATGGAAGCACAGTAGCTGGGGTCTTCCAGTGTTTCCGGTAAATTAATTCCTCAAGCTTAAGAAGAATGGCAATCAAAGTTTATTCAGAGTCCACTGGTGGAAGATGGCAGATCCAGCAGTTGCTTAAGTTTGAGGTGCGTGAATGGTTTCAGAGAGCTGCACCTGGGTGTTTTTTTCTTGTGAGGAAGTCTCCAAGAGTGGTTTTGAGAGACAAGAGATCATAATCTCGCCCTTTACTGTATCTCCCAGGGTTTGAGGTGTTCTCTCTTCACCTAGTGGGATTGTTCCTTGCCCTCTCCCACTGTAAACTCAGCATCTCCCATCCTAGTAGCTATAACTCCATTTTTCTGCTCTTGTTCCCTCTTCACACCGAGACTTTTCATCTGAAGGCTCAGGTACTAGAGGGATAAGGGCATTTTTATGAAATTTGTAGATACTGATTATATCCTCCACCGTGGCCTGTGTGGGCTATTGCAGGAGTGCTTGGTGCTCAGTATACTCAAGCAAGTAGTCATTTTCCTCATCTAGGACCATGTCAGTACAGCAAGAGATTCCAGTGACTGACCTAGATTGTTTAAATCTCTTACGCCCTTTTTTAACCAGGCTGCAACCCAGGGGATTTACCAGTTGAGCTTCCTGAAGGCAGCTGTCAGGGGGAAAAGGAAGGAACCATCATGACCGGGAATGGTCAGAACAGAATCCTGAGTTCTCAAAATAGGTCCAAATAATGTCCCCTCTCCATCTCTTGATCATTACTTGAGAAACAGCTGAGAAGAGATGAACCTTTTCTTGAGATGTTGCATTTAGTGGTCAAACTGCCTTATTAAGGTGTGTGGATAGAAAGAGGGGAGGAAGTAGAGTCTTAAATCTTTTTCTGTTTATTTTTGAGGTGGTTGTTTTAGCATGTAGCAATATAAGATACTAGCAGATGGTAGGAAGCATGGAATGACTATTGAACGCCTTGACTATTGACTCATGTTTTGCTGGCTTTTGTGGCAAAAGACACAGTATTATCAGACGGTAAATAGACCAGACGTCCAGAAATATAGCACAGTTTAGTTTTAAAAGTCACAGTGAAGTGGCCGGAGTTAGCTGATCAGACTATAATTGTGACATTATAGTCTGAAAAGGTGTTGACAGTGGTGAGATGCCAATGGTAGCTACGAGAGATAAGAGGCCCAATATAGGCAGTTTGCTAAAAATGGATGACCACTGTGGCCTCCTGCTTCACAAAGTAAGCAGTTCACGTTTGGTAAGAGTCCCAAGTCCAGTATGCATTGTAGCTTCTGCATGAATTTGTACTCAGTTTGTGACGGTGGTGCCTTGTCATGTCTGTTCATGGTAATGGAACCTGGTAGCAATGGTGGCGATCTGGACAGTGCAGCCTCCATCAGCAGCTTGATTCAGTTGATTTCATCAGATAATGGGTCTTTACTGTTGGCATCTACATTAGTGACCCATTAATAACCATTTGGCAAGCATGATTTGTTTCTCAAAAATCCTTTGATGTCGTCAAAGAGGGGTACCTTTAACCTGCCAGTCTAATCTGCCAGTCTTTCCAAGTGGCAGACCATATGGTTAGGGCATTGGCAACAGGCAATAAAAATGTAGTAAAAGTATTTATTCGAGAGAATCTTGGTCAGAACTCTGAGGACTGCCTTGAGTTCCGCTCACTGAGCAGAACACCACTTCTTGTTTGCTATTACATACCTGTTTTTGAGGCTGAACAGCCACAGCAGTCCAGCAGACGTCATCAGGTTTCAGTTTAGTGGAATCATTAGTAAACCAGGCCTCGCCATTTAGGGGACCCTCTGTGCATTGAGGGTCCTACTGAACGACTGGCTTTGCTTCAGGTACTGACAGGGGATAAGGTTTCTCCCCAAAAAGTTACTCTTTCTTTTACCTTTTTTGTATTTTACTATAGGTTACTATGGCCAGGTCAGTTGCACTCCTGAATATACCATTTCCATTTAATAAGCAGGGCTTATTAGACCCTTCTCATCTTATTACTCATCCAGTCCAAGTTGACCAACCCCAAAATTGGGCTATCAGGTGTTGTACAGTCATGAATCACTTAACGACAGTGATATGTTCTGAGGACTGCGTCGTTAGGCGATGTTGTCATTGCGTGGACATCATAGAGTGCACTTACACAAACCTAGATGGTACAGCCTACTGTACACCTAGGCTACATGGCGCTAATCTTATGGGACCAAGGTCATATATGTGGTCTGTTGTTAACTGAGACTTTATTATGTGGTGCATGACTATACTTGGTAGCCATATCAGGCAGGTGGTATGTCCAAAAATCAAATGAGCACTGATAAATGGAGGACAACTTTTGTTCTCATAGGTTCCAGTATTGGTAAATGTATCAGTCACAGAGACTTGTACTTAGAAGAGGTTATTAGGTTTGCGTGGCCTCAATAGTAGATAGGATGCCATGTCTTGCTGGAAATTTCTGATGCAACCTGTTGGATTGGTCCCAACTCAGAGGACACCGATTTGTGAATTAATCTATATAAATTACCAAGAAGAATGCTGAGGTGGGGTATACACTTACTTCAATATCTGAAGAGCCTCATGAGGTGTTGGGTCTCCATTTTGGGTGATGGAGGCTGAAGAGAGAGCAGTTTTTCTTTGACTACTGGAGGCACTGAGTATCCTGAGTGTGCCCACATAGTCCCAACACATTTTTATGCTGCTGTCGAGAAAGTGATGTCAACCTCATTTTATTACTTTGCTTATGATTTAACTTTTTGACGAGAGGGCCAGAGTGTATTTTAAATTATTTCATTGAAGTCTAACAATTTTACTATGTTGTGTCTCAGATTTGATTATTCTGGGTCACCTTCTCCAGGTCCACAATGGGCCCTTCAATATGCAGATAGAGGTCATCTGATAGAACATCTGTGCTAATCTTCCTCTATTTTGCATGAGGGACACAGCTACAGCGTGGCCTTACAAACGTTGTGTAGGTCTGCACCTGGGATCCGAATCTCAGGCCACCAAAGCGGAGTGTGGTGTGTGAACTCAACCACTGTGCCATTCGGCCAGCCCCTAAAATATGTTTTTTTTCTTTCCTGGACCAGAAATAATAGTTTGTATGTGGAGGTGATGGTGGGACTTTTGAGTTTTCAAATTTAAGTACCCTTTTCTGTTTGTAAAGTGGAATATGTCAAGCATAGCAGGTTTCTTTCTTTCTCAGTTTTTCTCTTCCTTTCCTCCTTTCTCTCCTTTCCTCCTTTCTCTCCTCCTTTCTTTATTTCTTGTCTTCCTCCTCCCCTCTCGTCTCCTTCTGTCTTCTGATTCTGAGATAATTTTGTGTTTCCATAGGTCCCTACTTTCCTTGATTTGCTTCTCCCTTTCACTGTACCCCCAAGCCTCCAAGGCCTGTCTGCCTCTCCTCGGTTGCCTCCTACTCCCCAGAAAGTGGTGTGTTCTTAAGGCTGCCATGTTTGTTGCTGTGTGCTTCCTGCCCATTCTTTGATATTGGCCAGTAGCCGCTGTTCTTACTCACCAAGTCTTAGACCGGTTCTCAGTATTTCCAAGTCAGGTAAAATCCGTGCTTTCTGGGGGTGATTTTTTTTCTTTGTGTTCCACCTCTGCTAGGATTTCACTTGCCCTCTTTCCCACAGTCTCCATCTTACTTTCTATTCTTGCGTAGGTTTCTGAGGTTGCAGATGTTAATTGCCCCACTTTTATATGACTGTACGTTCTGTAGTATTATTTTATCCTAGTTACACTATACTCATGAATAGTTTTGATTGCTCTTCTGGTAGATCTGTGTGGTTTTTAGAAGCTGTTAGTTGGTTTTTGTTATCCCATAGGAACCCGATAATTTTCCAGGTATAGTTTTAATCCTAGAAGGAAAGTTTGGAGTCTGACCAAAAGTGATAAAGTTCTTTGAAGGAAAAACTATTAAACTAATATGATGATAATGAGGATGTGTTGATGCTGGACCACGTACAGTTCAGGGCTTTGTATTTTCTGTGTATTTAGTAGAATTCTATTGAATGAAACGAATGAGAGTACTACATATTAGGAAAAATACTTTGAAAAGTTTCTTATTACGCAGTTACAGAAGTAAATAGGCTATAAAATAGCATTTTATTTCTCTAAAAATTCTTTATTTATAAAGATTAAGCTGAAACAATATAATTACTTTTGAAATTGTATAGTCTTGATAGCTACTCTCAAGCTTTCAAATTAAAGATGAAAGTTTCTACAATTTATCTCTAAAGCTTAGAAATATTATTCATATGTATAAATTCATGTTCACAAATTATGATAACATTTGTGTTATTTATTTTATTTATTTTTTTTTGAGGAAGATTAGCCCTGAGCTAACATTCGCCACCAGTCCTCCTCTTTTTGCTGAGGAAGATTGACCCTGAGCTAACATCCATGCCCATCTTCCTCTACTTTATATGTGGGATGCCTGCCGCAGCATGGCTTGATAAGTGGTGTGTCAGTCTGCATTCAGGATGCGAACTGGGGAAGCCCGGGCCAATGAACTGGAGTGTGCAAACTTAACTGCTATGCCACCAGGCTGGCCCCATGTTTTTTTGTGTATTTTTTTTAACCATTTGTCCTGGATTTCTATGATTTTAGGATATGTTAGTCATTTAACATATTAAGAAAGAATTGCTATTTATCATGGTCCCAGACTTTAGTTACTAAATAATTTCTCTTAGATGCAGAGGAGGCTTGGTCCCATGGGAATGAATTGGTACAATCCAATACTTTGTCAAGTAAAACAGCTTCACATTTATTCCTTCTTTGTGGTGGGTCATTGTCTTTGTCAGTAAAGTACGACGAACATGACCTTCTCCTTTTATTTGTCGGAGGATAGTGACTGTAGTGAACCTATGCAGAAACGCGTTAACGTAGCAGACATGAGATTGCTGTCCTCAGAAAGATCTGCTCACAAGGTTGGTGCTTTGCTAATATATGGGAACTTGG